ATAAATACAGTGATGTCTATGAGGAATGTTGCAGAAGGGCGTGGCCCCTGATCAGATGTGGGGGACACAGAAGAAAAAGAAGATGGAAGAGCTGCTCCGACCCCGAGTTCCGTTTCAGACAGGTGCAGGGGAGAAGTCAATGAAATACTGGGTGAGAAGACACCACAGGAAGTGAGCCCTTCAAGACCGGAGGAGGCCAGGTGAGCGGGCCGAGTAGAATCATCTCCCTGAAGGTGATGATGTGTGTGACGTCACTGAGGAGGCCAGTGGGAGAGAGAAGAGAAAACGCTGCAGAGAACGCACAGGGGAAGCTGTGGCTGAGACAGAGTGGCGGGAGGCGGGCACCGTGGTGGGGGCAGGGTGGAGGTGAGAGCTTGGAGGCCACGGGAGAAAGGGTGCCATGCCTGGAGAGTGCTTCAAAGAGGGGAAGGAGGGTGACGTCTGAGAAGAAACCAGACTTGATAAGAGCCTGGCCTTTAGGAAGTCAATGATAACCTTCAAGAGACATGAAGCGCCCAGTAGCCCAATTGGCCAGGGTGAAAAAGGGTGGTTGGGTTGGGAGACCTACGCAGTAATGGTAACAGTGGCAGTTCCCACGTATGTTATAGGTCATGTTTACATGTTGGGCATTTCCTGTATATATCAGATGGGCATCCTGGTGCACTGAATCTTCCCCAGAGCCTTGCCAGGTAGGTAGTAGTCTGCCCATTTTACAGATGAGAACACGGAGGAAATAGAGGCAGCCAAGAATGGGCTTTCTAAAGAGGGAAACGGGATGGCCTTGCCAGGAGGTGGCAGCAGTGAGGGAATGCTCCACTCCTAACTTGGCTCCTTTCCTACACTGACCTGACACTCAGTCCCTGGCCTCTCTGAGTGCATGCCACCACAAAGAAATTAAGTCCAGATGGGGCCTGGACTGTCAGGGTACCGATGACCATACACTGTGGGTCCAGGAGACAGACATAGTATAATGATGCAGAAAGTTTATTTTCTTTAATCTGGCCTTTATTTTCTTTTAATATATTTAAATATAGTTTTATTGATTTCAGAGAGGAAGGAAGAGAAAAACATCAATGATGAGAGGGAATCACTTATCAGCTGCCTCTTGCACACCCCTCACTGGGGATCAAGCCCGCAATCTGGGCATGTGCCCTTGACTGGGATCGAACCCGGATCCTTCAGTCCACAGGACCACGCTCTATCCACTGAGCAAAACTGGCTAGGGCTGGACTTTACTTTTTTTCTTTTGATTCTAACTGGCCTTACCCAGCACCCTGACTCATTCAACTTCCCTCTCCCTTGCTTGATCATGTAGCCCAAGCATATCAAACTCGTGACTGGTGGCTTGTGAGTTGGACATGCTTGATGTAGCCCTCATGACAACGGTCAGCATCCAGCAGTCTTAGGAACAAGGTCCTGGTTCAATTGACTACTGATTCAATTTTTTCAATCCTCACCTGAGAAACATGTTTGGAGAAAGGAAGGGAGGGAGGGAGGGAGGAAAGAAGGGAATCATCAATGTGAGAAACATCAATCGGTTGCCTCCTAT